TATTTTAAAGAAATACAATAATTAAAGAGGTTAAACAGATGGCTATGAAATCCAAGGTAGCAAAATGTGTATCTTCCTTTAAAAAAAAAAAAAAAAAAGATAAGGCTTTTTGCTGCTGTGCTGTGTTGTGTTTTTTTGCTCTTTTAAAAGTTGAATAAAGAGAAAAGCAATTTAATCCAGAATTACTTATTGCATATTTCTCTGGGGTAGAATGATCTCTGTTAAATCACACCTTCTCCAGAGTGACTCCAGTGGATTAATCAATGATCATCTTTCTAATTAAACTGCTGAGTAGAGAGTTAGAGGCTTTAGGTGATGACGGTTAGTTTTGCATAGAATCAGGGAATTAAAGGTGAATGACATTAACAAGGTGTTCATTCCTTTATAGGATCCAACAAATGTTGGGAAAATGATACTTCTGCAGTTTTATTCACGTGTTGCCTCTGAAACTTGAATCCTCAATGAAAAAGAAATTACACTGTGAAGTGCTTTCAGAAGCATATTTTGGAAATAAAAAAAGGTGGGGAAAGAAGTGCTGTTGATCACTTCAAAAGTATATGCCTACTTGGTTCAGTTGTGACAGAGCAGTTGGGGTAGATCCTAAAACTCTGCACTGGGGGAGTATAAAGTTTTCTGAAACAAAAACATGCAGGCCCGGGAAAGTTCAGCTTCCTTGTAGCGAAAGCTTCTTCCTTCTGGGTAGAGTTGCGTATTATGGTACATGCTTACCTTTGTGGATAGGCCGACTGTATGTGCTGAGTAAATTGTCCCTTCCTGTGGATCTGAGGAATGCTGAATTTACTGCCCGTGAGTAGAACTGGTTTAGCGTGTCACCAGTCAACCTGGGCACCCAGGACTCCTCCTGCTGCTTACTGAATGTATGCTCACCATTTCTTATATGTGAGCAGTACATTTGCACATTTGGAGTGGTGTGTTGGGGCTGAAAGGATTGTGGGGTTTGCGGGTCTTTTTTTGTTTTCTTCTGTTTTTTTTTTTTTTTTTTTTCAGTAAACAGGGAAAACGTTCTGGGATAATCCATCTGATTCACACACTACTCCCAATTTTCTCCAGCGGGGAGGGGAAAAAAACAAGAAAACCACATGCAGCAGACTTTCGCAGAAGGCTGCCTGCAGTTCCCTGGCTGTTGGGTGAATGCAGCTGGCACAGCAGAAGAAATTTAAATCTCTCCCCTGTTCTGGTGGTCAAAAGGCCAAGGGCTGGATGTATACTGTGCATAAGTCTGGTCAGCTGCTTGCAGCGTGCTTTATGTAAGGGCACTGTGCTGTCATTAGTTTGGCTGGCAAGTAACTAGCTCTTCAGGAGAACCACATGAGCAATTTTCCCTCTGTGCTTCCTTCCTGTCAGACCTGTGGGGGTTTGGGAGCGTCTCGTACTCCTTTTAAGACATAGGAGATGAGATGTACCTTAGCTGGAACTCTGTTTTCATAGAGCTGTTCTCAGAGTTGTTCAGCACAATTCACTGACTTTAACCAGGGGCTGTAGTTTGCACTAAAGACTTTTGGCAGCCTAGCAAAAGAAAGCAACCAGTATTCACTGTCTGCTTCTGCGCCTACACTGAATGAGTTTGTTCAGCCCTTCCCAAATAGCAGCTGAGGAACTGCCTATGCAACCTGAATGTGACTACTGAACGTATAATGTAACTTGCTCTTATTTTACAAGAGAGGTGGAAGTGCCCATGATACCTTTGTTCTAATGTCTTCACTTTACTGCCATGCCAGTTAGCCATTTGTTGGTATTTATTTTTGTTTATCATCTTATTCAGCAGGAAAATGAAAACGCGAGTCCAAGATCAATGACCAGCGCAGGTTATAGTGCCATAGCACTAAAATAGTCTAACCTATTCCGTTAAAGATGTTCACAGCTGTGCCCACCCTTCTGTCCTTAACAAAATGGCAAATACAGACTGGCAGGGTTTGCCATGCTAAATGCACAGGGTTTTGGAGTCTTCAGTACACAGGTGAATAGAATTGCATTCTGAGATATCAGTGTTCTTGCTTTTGTGAGGTTTAAGTGACTGTTACTTTAGTAACAGTCTTTTAATTGTCTTTTAATTTGTAATTATCTTTTACTTACTTCTTTTTTTTAACCTTTTTTCATTGTTTTGATACATAAGAATTCTTTTTTAAGATTGGTTTCTTCACAACTGGTTCACTGTCAATAGAATTTTAATGAGAATAATTGATATGAACAGACTTGTTCTAGGAAAGGGGAAGGAGGAGTGAATCAGTGTTGTAAAGTCATTGATGTAAGAATGCCTGCTCCCTCCTAGACTGTGCTATAAAAAGATACTAGAGTGAGTAAAGCTCTGTCTGTGTACAACAAAATGCTACCATTTATTTGGAAGTCTATAGATATTTCTTATGTTTAGCCTTCTTATTCAGGCCTCTGAAGATACAGGGAAATGGGTATCACAGAGCTGGCAGAGAAATCCTGGGAAGTTTGTATTCTTTGTGGTAAACTTCCTTCAACACTTGATGGACTTTTAGGGGGAAACATTGTGACTCCCTTTTAGAGTTACCTTCCTGGGAGCAGGGAGTCCTGGAAATACTTCAGCAAAACTGGCCCTTTTCTCTGACCAATAAGTGTTCTTTAAAGAGAGTAGGATATAATTCTTAAGTCTCTCTCATTAAGGTTTGACTGGTAGAGGGGTGTTGTATTACTTTACCATAAATTATTTCTTTCATATCAAAAGTAACGCACCATCTGCCAGCTATAAACATTACGCTCTCCTTTCTGCCTGTTTCTGCCCAGGTTGAATTGTTTTAGCTGTAAGTTTACAAATCTTGGTTGACTGAGTTTTATTTCTGTGAGGTCACCATAGGTGTAATTAGCTAACAGTCAGCTACGTTTCTACTGTAGTATGGGTCAGCAGAAATCCAGAGGAGTCATGTTTGCACGTGAGGGCGGGCTTTACTCTGCACTGTTAAAATTACATGCCTATACTGACACAGGTTTTGCATGTAGCGTCATACCTGGTCTTGCCATGTGCTCACTCCCCGCCTCTCAAAGCTGCAGTAAAGAAGCCCATCTGTGAAGAGCTGGATATGCAGTGCCAGTAGGCAAAGGAGGAGGAGGCGCACAGCCAGTTGAGGGATTTTGCAGAGATTCATGTAGGTGAGAGCAGGTTACTGCTGAACTCTTGAGTTTTAGTTGCTGGTATACAGGAACTGGGCGCTATGGTGAAGGAAGAACTGTATATCTTTGAAGAGCAGGGCTATGCCATGCCATTGGGCAGGAGAAGTAAGTATGATTAAAAAGTATGCATCAGCCACAGTCGCAGGCAGAAGCGCTGACCATCCTGTCACCCACTGAATGGCACTATGGACTTTGTGATAGAAGGTACTTTTTTACTGCATAGGTCAATGCGGTTTAGATAAACTCCGTTGTCTTGGCCCTTGCAGCCCTACTCTGCAGAACTTGACGGTGTGTCTTGTGATGATGAGAGTTTTGGTGGTGTTCATTTTAAATATTCTGTGCAGATATATCTTCTTCCCCAACAACAAAGCTCTATTTTATATTTGGAAATTTACAAGTGGTTTTATGGTAAAACTGAGAACAAATATTACTTAAACCTTATTACTCATATTTCCTTTTGGGTGTAACTTGCAGTCCGATACTGCTTTTTACTTTGTTGGCCCATTGTTAATTTGTCCTGTTTGTGTTGTGGTTTTGCAGCTTGTATTATTTGCTGCTTTGTCTGTGTTTTATTTTAATGGGACAGCCTTACTTTCACTGAAGTCAGTTTGAGACTACTGCAGAGCAGGAACATGTTCTAATTCCAGTGAATAATCTTATAAAAAAAAAAAAACTTTCAGCATTTTATTGCTCTGTTTTTCCACTCAAGAACTACGCATGTGGAAGTAACTCTTAGTTTCTATTTTACATGTTTTACATGTGATGTTTTAATTGAGAATCTATTTTGTTGTATATTGATTTTATCACCACACTCCTCAGTAAGGTCTGCTTTTTAAAGTAGAAGTAAAATAAAATACTCGCTTGCTGTAGTATGTCAGTTTAACTCGTACAAAAAAGAATATTTTCATGACAAGGTGCTGTGCTCCATAAAGAAGCTGTTGAAAATCAGCCATGCCAATTTAAACATTGCAGAAAATATTGTAATACAACCTGACACTTGGCAGCATGAAAATGACAGAATTTGTAGAGAAAGAAATTATCTTTGCCAGCTTTTAGGAGCTCACTTAGACACCATCTTCAGTGTATTTGCATTAAACAAGTGCAATGTATATGTTTTCTGTCTTATCCTTTTAAGGTGGTGTGGGCAAAAAAGCAGTGGGTTAGTCCATCTGCCTTAAAACAGAAGGTGGTTTTTCAGAGTTTTGTTTGGCTGGTGCGAGAAAAAATTCCACAGGCACTCTCTGTATCTGACAAGAGTTTTTGGCAGCTGTTATGACTGGGATTTGGTAGCCTATCCAGAGCTGGGCTGCAAGAAGCTTTGAATACAAACATATGGGAACAGACCCAAAAGGTCTTCCAAAATGTGCCCCTGTGTGGGACATAGTCCTCTCGTGGTGCCTGGGCTCCTTTCTCCATTAGTGCCTTAGCGGTAGGAAAGGGACCGCGATGGTGGCAGCGGTGGTTTTCCAGCTCCTCTTCTCTGGTTGTGTTGGCTGGGTGAAGGATATGGGAGTTGCCACAGGACAGACCCTCCACAGAGGAAATCTGGGCAGCTCAATGCAAATTCCTGTTGAAGCACATGTTCCAATTTGTTGTACCACCACTTTCTAAGCTGACTTTGGATGGGGAAGGAAGCTTTCAGTTGCTGCGCCTGAGCTGTCTGCCCAGAATGTGTAAGTGATGTGTGAAATAAAGGGAGATGTTTCTAGCTGCTCTTTTTGCCTGTGTAGTTACTGCCTTTGCAGGGGAGATGTTAGTCATTTAGCTGGCAGTGGTCCGGAAATACGGTTATTTCTAATGTAACTAAGCATACATATGTTAATAAAACTGTTTTTATTTTTCAGATTGTCAGCTCTGCTAAAAGAGAGACTTCCAGGAAAAATTCTTCAACTCATGAAGCAGCCAGGCTAGTGTTAAGAAACACACCTCAACCTTTGTGCTTCTACTCCAGGATGCAGTGGGAAACAAGGCATGCAGAGAGCAAATAAATTCTGCAAGGTTTGTTTGTTTGTTTTTATTTTGTTGGTTTATATATTTTTGAATGTATAAATTGAGTTACGAAAGAGTTATAGACCAAGGTCCAGATACCACCAGCTCAAATTTCACTTTAGTCTGTGGGTCTTATGTTTAATATTGGCTAGGTGCCTTTGAGGGCTTAGAGATAACCAATAGTGAACACCAGCACTGAAAGAAACGTAGCCTATCTGAATTAGGTTTCTCTCTAGGCATTGATCCAGCTCTTAATGCCTTGACTTCAAAATAGGTTATATTTGTGAAACTTCAGTACACGCAAGGATTCAAATCTGTGAATAGCACAGATGCAGTTTTCTATAATTAACTTAAGAAGGAGAGGGAGGGCTTTAGACTTCTTCCTGCCCAGCTATTATGAGTGTTATGATGTGGCAGATGTCTCTCTGTTGAAGGAGACAGAATGGATTAAGAGTTTCTGGTGTAGCCTGCATCGTTCCAGCACTGGGCAGAAGATGACCAACCAAGAGATGCGCTATTCCTGATCTGTCACTGTTTTCAAGCAGTGTTAAATTTTAGTACTGGCGATTATCTGATGTCTTTCTGCTCCAGTCGTGTGTCTTATGCATGGCATGTGAAAGAGACACTCCTGCAGGTGATTTGAAAGACCTGGTGCGTTTGAGCTTTTGGGAGGGCAAGTTTCTCTCACCACTGTTAGTTTTAGCATGTGAAACAAAGGGATTGTTTAGAGATCTTTAGATGGCTTGATCATGCTGTTTTATAAAAGGATGATGGGAGAGTGTTTATTCAACTTTTCATTATTTTGAATTACTCTGGCAATTTTTGCTATTTTCATTTAAAAGAAACACAGTGGTTTCAATACTGTGCTCTGTAAAAGGACTGGAGCACTATGGGCTACTAGTTAACACAAGATCCAGCTGTGTTTGGGCTTAGTAGCAGGAAACCACCGTAGAACCCTAATAAATCCACCTTTAAAGAAGTGCGGGCCTGTGAGTCATTCTGCACATCACAAAATCCTAGGAAAGAGGGTTGGATTGTGAACTCATCTGGTTCATCCTTGTTTCCCAGGGGTTTATCTGAAGTGATCTTAAACTTCCACTGGCAATGGGTGTAGTTTCAGAGGGATTCTGTCTCTTTCAGTGCTGCAACAGAATTGCTTATTTCACCAGGTAAACAGCTTTGGGGCAAAATGAGGCTGGTTAAGCAAGGGAGCTCTCAGAGTTAGATCTTCCTCCCAGTTTGATACACACCATGCAGGTGACTCTTACTTAGAGCTTTTTGAAATTATTTGATATTGAAACAGTTTAAAAAAAAATTACGCTTGTTTGATTTTTTTTTTTTTAACGCTCTTATCTTTTTTTTTAAATCTGTATATAATGAAGCTTTGCTACATTTTTCTAATGACATTAGAGTTCTGTAACTTGAAAGGAACTTAGGGCACCAAAGGCAGAGGAATTCACAGGCATAAGCTCTGCATTTGCTGTTATCTGATTACTAGAGTTCTTGACCCATTCGTTTATCAAACAGACAGGCTACTTTTAATACTAGCTTTTAAAATCAGGATATTGTATAAAACTAGCATAGTTGTGAGTTGTGCAAGAGTCATCAGTGCTATGCTGAATATGACTGCAACAGTTTAGAAGCTCTTCTGAATTTTTGCAGTTCTTCTCTCCTCAAAAAAATTAAAAAATACAAACAAAAAACCCCAAAGCAGTCAATTTTTTTTTCTTTTTTTTTTTTTTAAGGATAGCCATGATGCTGTGGCATTATGATTAATATAACTAGATTTACTGTTCAGGTGCACTGTTCTGTGCTCTGTTGTCTCAGATTAAAAATGTCACTGGGATTTTATACACTGCAGCATTCATGAAAAGTCGTAATTTGTCATGTTAGTTGACCTGTGAGGGCTTGTTTTTTGTTTGTTTGTTTCTTTAACCTGTATTAATAAAAGGAAATACTGGACCTGATTCTAGAATTTAGTAAGACTAATAGCTGTTGGGGCACTCCAGGACTGGATCCTACAGACGATGCTGTAGGTTTTTGCCATGGTTCAGTGCTGTAGGGTAGATGCAGTATTTATTGGCTTGTAAGTTCTTGTGATGTGTTCAGTCTGTGCATTTTGTTTCATTTTAATTAGGAGCACCTGCAGTTTTCCAAAAAGCAGTGAAAACCTAGAGCGAGTTTGTCAACGGCAGAGGGTGAATCTGACTAAAATTTGAGAATGGTATGAAGACATGGAAGAGAAAATTATGGCGTACTGATTACTAATGATAAATATACCAAAAGCATTCTAAAATTATAAAGCAGTGTGATGTGTTAAAGCATTAATTTGCATTTTGGCTAAGGCATAGCTGCATTTTTGGACTATCCTTTTAATTCTCCTGTTAATTACCTACTGACCAGTTCCTCAGGTGGAAGCAGCAGGGAGCTGTGCCTGCAGCAGTTCCCTGACGTGCTAGTTTCTGTCAGACGGAGCAATGGGACTCCTAAGGTTATTTTGAAACCTGGGGTCTGCGGCTATTACACCAGCAAACAAACTTGAACAGGAATCTAATTAAAAAGTCCAAGAGAGTGAATAAAGATCACAAATGCCATCTGTTCAGTTTTACAACCTGAAATTACTCAGTGGATAACGGTACCAAGTTTGATTGTTTCTACGTTTGCGTTACAGCTGAGTTTTGTTACAGCAGCCAGCACATATGAGAGAGTTGTGCAGATTCTGGTAGCATTGATAAGCATTTGGACTACATTAATTATTCCATCCAACTATGTTCTGGAGATAGAGGTGGTTTGAAAACTGATTTTGTGAGCAAGGCATTGATGCCCTGTAGGCCTTGTCCTGACTTACCTCCTTAGAACTTGCTTGAAAAGGGCAACATAAATTTGATGCTAATAAGGTCTCTGGTAACGTTCCTTTCCTAGGACAGAGCAGAGTGCTCTTGGAGTTCCCACTGAAAGAAGTCAAATGCCCAAGTTCCATTTCCAGGGCTGTGGTTCAAGGAAGGCTGGTTCCTCACATCCGAGGGCTCCTGGTTCCTTGGGCTGAAGAACTCGCTCTCTGTGCGCTTCATTTACCCTTCCAAGCTTTAGTCTGCTCTTGGGCTTCACTCAGGAGACACATACGCACGCTACACACCAACTTTTAAGTTACTCTGGAGGGTGATTTGTTGTGCATGCACAAGACATAGATAATATGAGTTAGGAAGAGAGCTCATTATTTTGAGATAGGGACGTGATGATGGTAACAGTGAAGGACTTGACTATATGTTTTCACACTAGATCTTCAGTGGTCATGTAACCTAAGGAAGATGGACGATCATAACTCCATCTGTAGACTCTTGCAACAAATTGTTCCTAAGTTAAAGTAATTAAAAATAAGGCTTGACTCTTTATCTCCTTTCCAAGTGAAAGTGTTATTCGTGTGGTTGATCAAATGAGAGAATGTCAAACAAACAGCTGTGGACCTAGGAAAAAAACCCCTACAAAACTGATTTTCAGTAGAATGGTCTGGAAAGTAATCAAATGTAAAGAGAAGGAAACGCACCAGCGCCTTCACATAAGCCAGGAGATAGAGCAGTCTTAGGAACTCTTCCCATAACATATAATTTCAGTGACGACAATGTCCGTTCACAATTCATGTGAAACAAGGTAGGGACATGGGGTGAAAAAAGCTTTGTGGTAGTTTGGGCAGTCCTGTGACTACCTTTCAGATGTAGTCTAGAAGATTTGAAAGGTTCAAAACAGGCTGAGGAAGCAAAAGAAAATGTCAGTCTGCTGAAGGAAGCCCTACTGATTAAGCTTTGTATTTAGGAAATAATTTCTGATTGACAAGCAACAGCCTTGTGGCCAGTTTGTCATTAGGTTAAAAAAAAAAAAAAAGTATATGCGCTCTTTTCAGTGTAACTTAGAAGGAAGCCTTAAGGACTTCAAGTTGAAATGATCTTTTTATTTCCACTGTTCGCTGGCTGTACTTATTGCCTCTACATCTCTTTGATATATGCATTAATTTACCAATGGCCTCAGTGTTGCTTAGGATCTCTCTCATGGCCTGTTCCTCCACCACTGCACAGCTCAATTGTACTGTCAGCAGAGATCATCAGACTTGCTAAAGACAACAACAAAAATTGGGCATGCCTGGCAAAGTCTAATGATGCAGCCCTGCAGCAACAGAGCAGTCCTCCCTGTTATGGATATTCAGTTTGACACTTTTTTTAATATGCTGGTGTTGCTAGCAAGATGTTGAGATGAAAGGTGCAAAGTGGCACCTTGCTCCTGCGGAGCCATTGGGAGCATGACTTGGGTACGGGAGCACAAATCTCCACAGGGTGTGCGAGGAGGGTGTCAGCCTGCAGCTGAGCCATGATAGCTACCTGTGTGCATGCTCTTACTCTGCGGTGAGTGAAGGGCAGGTTACCTATCACATGGTCTAGCTTATTCCTCCTTTTGAGGTGGCAGGGAGTAAACGTATGAACCAGATGAGTTATCATAGTATAGCTGATTTGCTGTAACATCACACTGGGTTTTATTTGGTTTGTATAGTCAGATTTTGAGCACAAATGGTGATGCTGTGTGTGTAAGCACAAGTACAAAAGGAGTATTTGACTGTGTTTATATTTCTCTGAGAAGCATTTTAACTGAGCCCGCTGTCATTCAGGACAGATCATTATTCTCCCACCTGAGCCTTAACCCTATAATCAACAAGATATGGAAATCCTGTTTGAAAATCTGACAGCGGCTTCTTTTTGTCTGCTCAGAGAGACTCCTTCTCCTCAAAATAATCTCTCATTTCTGATCGCTTTTTTCCAGTATTCTGCAAAACCTTAAGGCACAATCTCTCTTCCCCACTGAAGTATCGTCTCCTCTCCAGGTTTATGGTATAGATCTTTTTTTCCCCGTCGAAAGAAATATATACATCAAATGTTCCCTACACTACCTTAAAAAAAATTGGAGTGACTGTTTTCGGTTTAAGCATAAACTGGTAATTAATGCTAGCTTTCTGTTTGTCTGTA